ATGTTTATCTTAGAAAAGAAAGTAAGGGAATCCTGCCTTGAGGGACTTGGCTACCAAGAAAAGATTATTAGAACCTTGGGGAAATGTCATTATGAAATGGCTGCTGTGAAATGTGCAAAAATAACTCTCTGAACAGAGGAGAAGTGGTAAGCTAGGCAAGCCCTTTGACCCCATGCAACCTCATCAAAATTTGAGGGTTGACAAAAACAGATTTGGCAGGAAGAAAGTCTTTTGACTTTAGTAAGTCCTGTGATACAGAAGTAGATAGCCAAAAGTGAGTTCTTATTCCGTTAGACAAGATGCATGAATGTGGACTAGACTGAGCCTCTCAAGTATCTTGATCCTGTTTCTGTCTCCATCTGGCACAATCTATACTTCTTTGTTGAGTATAATGAATGAATGAATGAATGAATTGGATTCCAATTTCAGAAGTGAGCTGGTTTTCAGGAAAATGCACAAATAGCTCATTGGGAATAGCTTCAAGGTGGCAGTGGCAAAAACCAGGTGACTTAGACAATTATATAGGTAAGAGGCCTAAATTGTTTTTTTTCACAGTACCTGTTTCTACACTGAGCATTCAACCCAAAGGGTCTGAATGTGTTTGGCCATGGAGTTTGTGATAATGTGGTATGAAAGTGGCACTTGTGTGTGTGTAAGCACAAACTATTAGTATGCCTGATTCATTTGGCTCATTCATGTGGAAATTTCTTTAAAGTAATGGATTTTGCAAGGTTTGGAGAAAACTGTTTGAGTGCTTACATAAAAACTCTGTTTTCTACTGATCGTTTGAGCGTTGGTTGAAAAGTGTAAATGTGGCCTTCTCTCTGCAGGGTCTACTTTCCATCCTTTCCTCAGACATTAAAGTGACTTGTAATTGCCACTCCTAAGCCAAATCCTGGAAGAATAACAGTGATTCACAAGTGTGTTGAAGTGCTGCTGACATCTGGAATGTACTTATTGCCATTGTTTGGATGTTCTAAGATCAGACTTTCATTGGACACCATAGAATAGAAGAAAAGATAAACACATTTCTGACTGGCAAGAGCATTTCTTAGGAATTGTTAGGGAAGGAGCTGGAAGCAAAATGATTTTCAGAAATATATAAGATTCCAGCATAAATCCAATTTTTAAAATACCTTTAGCTTTAATAAATGTAAGTCATGATGTAAAAGCCAGACTTTGCACTCTCTACTGTTGATATAGTGGTGGTATCTGTTATCCCCAAACTCATAGTATGTTCTGAATTCTGAAGACATTTAATTTCACCCACTTTTCTGCAAGAATCTGTCACCCACACCACCCTGGGGCTAACACTAGCCAGGTGCATTATTGGAATCCCTCACCTTCTGAAACATTAGCTATTGACTGTTGTTTCAAAGGGAATGAAAAGTTTGATGTGGGTCTTCCTGTTGGAGTGACGAGCTTTGTGAATTTCCTATCCATATTTCTGACAAACTCTCCTTGTTTTAATTTTTCAATTAAAAAAAAAGTCTAGAGTGAAAAAAAATAAAAGCCCTTTCATTGTTCTTCCATGACACCCATTCCAGGTCCCCAGAAATAAGAAAACTACCAATGTGGTATGTAATACTGTTCCTTTGAAGTTTTAATCTTAACATAGATGCCTCGAGTTTATATTCACTATCATTCTGTGTATGGAAGCAATGTTAGAACACCAACCAAGGTAACCCAACAGCCTGTGGGGAAATCCAACTTTTGTGTTTTCTACTCATAAATATATCTGTGTGTACATATCCTTTAGAGTTTACAAAGTCATGATCTTTGGGCTGTGTACAGGCCATGGACACATTTTTTTTTTTTTGGCTTAGCCACTGTTTAAAGAATAAAAGAATTAGTTGCTAAGCATTTAAAAATCAGGATGTTTCACATAAAATTTGGGGTCTGGTGACTTGTGACCCAAAGAGACATTTCCACAGTGCAACGATTGGTTAGAAGTGAGTAGTAGTGACCCTCTAAAGACACTGCCATTTGTACCATGTTGTCTGGTATCTGACCAGTTGTACACATTTGCATTACCTGCTGGGCCCTATAGACTTTGAGTTTCAACTCTAATCACTGAATATAAGATTTGAGAACTAAAATGATATAGATAGGATAACCATATAATTAATTGTCCAAACTAGGATATTTTGAGTGTAAAAAGGAGTGCTGTTAATTATCCAGGACCATAGACATAGATTAGGACTGTCCCAGACAAACCAAGATATATACTTTCCCTATTTATGCACCACTATATTCAGCTGTTTCTTTTTGCTAATGAGAAACTAAGAAGTGTGAATTAAGGGTGAAGTAATTTCCCCGTTAGTCACCAGATATATGTCAGAGCTTCCCTAACCACTTTGACTTCCAGCGCACGACTTTTTCCAACATAATGTGTTCTATATAATATGTACAAGCATATTATATAGTTAATAATTATTGTATAGCTCATGTCCTGCTGAACCTACAGATTGCTAGCTTATATCATCAATGACATTTCTATTATGACTCTAATTAGTGATTTGGACCATAGCACAAACATTGGTATGTTTGAAAACTAGAGAATAAGCACAAGTAAAGTTTCTCATTTAACTAGACACAACAAAAAATGTATTTAGAAATGTTAATTATCAAGATTGAAAAACAACAAAAAATCTATCATGTAACTGATGACTGACTTGCTAATAAATTCTGTATATTGGCTTCTGGACTATTAGCTATTGCCTGACAATAAATATTAATTATATCTTCAAGAGATGTCCAAGATTCCAAAGTCCCAATCTTTGACCAGCTGTCCCCTGTGTTGTTGAATTCTGAAGAGATAGTTGTACAGGGAACAGCTCCAGATTAGATTAATATATGCTTTTCATCACTTGCTCAGGTTTAGGTCCCAAACCCCTATCAGGTCTCCTACACTAGGGATCTGTGTGAGCCTTAGGGGTACCTCTTAACCTTTCTTGAAGGCTCAGGCCTGAGAAGTCTCCTTTAGGACACCTTTCTTCAATGCCTACTGGCTCTCACTTGCCTTTCTGAAGGATCTTGCAAGCAGGAGGACCATCTTACCACGTCATCTGCGCAAGAGGGAAGACAGAAAGAAGAAAGCTTTTCTCATCAAGGCCTAAAGGATAGCTGACATAAGTTGCCACTCTAGGATGCTTTTTCCTTGAAGTACACAGGTAGCTTTCTAAATGGACCATCACCCATGCAGAAGACATGACCAGGATGCATGTTACTGCATTAGCTTCCTATAGTTGAAGAGAGCCAAGAAAAGGTGAAGGGAGCAAATATCTCTTATCCTGCTCACAAACATCTTGTCCCCAACTATAGCAACCCCCTACTGTCCTGGAGGCATCCCCCATTTTTAATTTTCATCAGGGCCTCTTTTGTGTGTGGTGCCTTATAGAGGAAGGAACCAGTAAGCAACTATGACCTTTATACTCCAGATATAAACCACACACATGGGTACCCTTTTCTCTATGTACCTCAACAAACTCGAACAGGAAAAATTGTTTTCTAAATGAGCCAAGTCCATATGCATGAAATTTTGTTTTTATATGGAGATGGAACTGTGAATGGATGTATGAAAATGTAGATTGTGGATTTTTGTTTTTGCTTTTGCTTTTCCATTCTGGACAATTAGTACTTCTAAATATATTTCTTGTTGTGTCTAGTTAAATGAGTAGCTTTACTTCATTTACTTGCTAGTTCTCAAGTCTACCAATGTTTTGAACATCTCCATATATACTATCTATGGTCCAACTCATTAATTAGATTCACAATAGAAATGCCATTGATGATACAAGCTAGCAGTCTGTAGGCCCTAGAGCTGTAATGTCCAATAGCTACATGTGGCTACTGAGCCTTTGAAATGATAATAGGTTGTGAATACTGATATAAGCAAAAAATAGTATTAAGTTAATTTTATCTGTTTCTTTTTACTTTTTAATGTAATTCCTAGCAAAGTTAAAATTATCGATGTTGCTGGCAGTGCACTTTTATTGGATGGTATTCTAGACGTATGTGTCATGCACCTAAATGAAACAGGATTTAGTCTCATGCTTGGTTGTCACAGTGACTTTTTACCATGACAAATCTGAGGGGAAGTTTGGTAGTTGTTTCCTAGTGCAACTTTCTAGTTTATTCGCAAGGCTTTGGGATTGTAAAGATATCCTCACAATCCTTCACATTTACCTCAATAAGAGAATATGGTGAAAGCATTCATAATATCTTTCTATAAATCAGGCGAGTTTTTAAAAGGACTAATCCTCTCTCATGTTTTCTAGCATCTTGTTTCCTGCACAGCTCTTTGCCTCCTGGAGCACCTGTTCTAACACCAGCCTTTAAGCTTTTCTGCCATATCATGCAGAAGGCACTTGGGTACATACAATGCCAGCTGTGGGTACCATATGGAAAAGCCATATCATATACATATGTACAGAGTATTTTTGAAGCCAGAAAGAGTGTGTAACCAATCTAGCTTTATCTTTTTCATGCCTTTCAAAATTTTAATTATTGAAATACTTTAGGACATAAATAGAATCATGTTAGCTAGATAATTCTGAGTTAAAACCAAATATGTACTTTTGTTTTGATATGGACATAAGACTATGTATGGATGTATGAAAATGTAGATTGAACACTTGGATACAGATGGGTTTGACTTTTCAATTAAGTGTATGGAGAGGGATGTATAAATGAATGGATCTGGTGTATGTCAGTCTGCTCAGGCAGAGCTTTGCATATGGAAGCAGAGATTTCCTCCTCCTATAAATGGTTGGAAAGTTCTGTTTCTGCTTCTACCTAGTTTAGGTGCAAACTTCACTCAGATGGTTGCCAAGGGTTGATAGAGAAGGTCATTTTCTTTGACTAAGCCCAGCCCTGGTGATACCCAAAGATTACACCAAAGACCTCAGGTAGCAATGCTACCAATGGCATCCAGGTATCAGGCTACATTTTCTTTTGAGTAACCTCTTTCCTTCTTCTTTTCCTTCCACTTCTTCTAGGCAGGACAGGGCTGCTTGCTGATCTCTTGCCCAGTTTTGCTGTGGAGATTATGCCAGGTATTCAGTCATTTAACTATTTGCTTAATTTGCTATCACTCCATCTGTCTTGCTTCTGCATTAGTCACTAATTACTTGTGTAATTAATTGGACATTTGTTTGTATATCTCGGTAATCTTTAGCAGGATGGACTAAGTCCGTTGAAGAGCTTTTGAGTTGTATTCCTTCTATTCCTAGACCCTAAAAGAATAACAATGATTAAAAATAGGCTGAGGTGGGGACCAGTCCTTCAGTGACAACATCTGAGGTGGAGACCCAGTCCTTCAGTGACAGCATTGCTGGTACTCTCCAGGCCCATCTCAGTATTTCAGCAGTAGCCAAGTAGCTATAAGTATTCTTAACAGAGTCATTATTTGTCTACATTCTTTATTCCCTAAATTATATGTTTACTCATTCCTTATTATACAATAATGTTACTCTGAGTTGCCTTTTGTAACATCAAAAATCTTTTTTTTAAGACAGGGTTTCCCTGTATACCCCAGGCTGGTCTCAAACTTGCTCTTTAACCCCACTAGCCTCAAACTCATGATCCTCCTACCTCCACTTCCTAAGTGCTGGGATTATAGATGTGCACCACTACACCTGGCTTGATTGAAGTTTTAAGAAAAAAATTGAGTCTTTATAGTTGAGCTTCACTAATTATTCTTCCTTGAATTCTTCTTTTTCTTTCCTATTAGCTGGCCAACTTAAACCCAGACATTCTTGTTACTGATATTGCTCCCAAGGGCACAAATAGACATCTCTTTGTAATCCCCCTTATCAAAAATGCCTCAATTTGTAAGCATTTGTCCCTGAAAAAAAGAAAAAAAAAAAACAATGTCATAGTGCACTGTTTCAAACTAGAAGTTCTATCTCCTGGTCCCAAAAGTTACAGCATTTTTCATATCTGACCAAATTCACCTGAATTTTTCTGCTTTTGACTCCAAGAATCTTTTCGAAGATAATACATTTTTGTTTCTCAAATATAACCTGTCAGCATTTTATCCTTAATTGCCTGACCTGAGTTGTAGCCCCCACTCCATAACACTAATCTAAACCTCAATGCTTACTCAAGTCTATCTCAGACTACATTATGTTATTATGTTACTACAAAGGCATAGGCCATAGCCTTCTGTTATCTGTTGTCCTCAACAAGAATGTTCTGTAGACCATTCAAGACAGGCACAAAGCTTTCTCAGTTCCTCACTGAAGAAAGGTTGACCTGGTTAACTTGAATGTATTTCAGATGGAGAAGTAAGAGGAGAAATTCAGGAAACATAAATTGTTTATTTTCTTTCCAAGGAAATGATGTTCCAACCAAAGATCAAAGGAATTTTTCATTATCAAAAAAACCCTTTATATATAAAAAATGTTATACTTTCAGGCTCCTAACTGAATGTCCATTTAGTTGAAGGAATAGTCGATAACTAAATTTTGAGAAAAACAAGTAGTGTGTACTTGAGGTTCACTGTGAAGGGATTTTTGATAGACGGTTTTCAACTTCAATACACTGCCTTAGTCTTTTGCCTTCTGAAGGAAAGCATGGCTTTCTTCAGTCTGTCCAGGCCTCTACAGAGAAGTTGGTTCCTATAGCCAAGTCTCTGCAGAATGGTACTGAGACAAGTCATTTGAGGGCCACAGTCATTTTTATGTAAGCCAAGCAGAATTTGTTTCCTTTCTCTTAATCTTGTGGTTGGGCAAATGAAATAGAATTCATGTTCAGCTTCTGGCAGAGCTGTGAAAACAGCCAACGTCAACAAGCATACCTAGCTGTGTGTGTACATGTTCACCTTGCTGTTCATCCAAGCTCTGAGCCACTTTAGTCATTGGTTATGCTGGGTGCCTAGCATGGTCAGCTTTCTTGTGATCAAACCCATCCCAGTCTCTGGGGATGGGATCAGTGTCTTATTTATTT